ACAGTCGGCCATGTGGCAGTCCAGTGCCCTTAACCAACACGCCACCTGTTGGCCCCCCAAAGCTTTATTTGGGGGGGGAGTTAAGTTTATTAAGGCCTAATTTACATCAAACGAAAGTCACCCTTTCAGTATAGTTCAGCATGCACCCTATAGCAAAAAATTTCTCAAAAAATACAAAATTGAGAGACTACTTCTGTCACCCCAGAAAGTTTCCTCATTCATTATAATCAATCCCCCCTACTCACCCTCAGGTCTGGCAACCAGTGACCTGACATCCGTCCCCACTGTTTTGCCTCTTCCGGAACGTCATAGAAATGGAATCATTCAGTATGTATCCTGTCGTGCCAAATTTCTTCCACTCAGGGTATTTTTTAGATCCACCTTTGTTACTAACTCATCAGTAGTTTTTTCCTTTTATGGCTGACCTGTATTCCATAGTGTGCCACATCCCAGTTTTGTTTTGTTTTTTAAATATTTTATCTAACTTTATTTACTTACTTATTTTTTAATTTGACCAGAGAGAGAAAGAGAGAAAGCAAGCTGCCAAGTCCAGAACTCAAACCGCGGTTGACCATGTGGGAGTCCAACGGCTCTAACCATCATGCCACCTGCCAGCCCCGTCCTAGTTGGGTTTTTTCCTATTTACTGACATCAGTGATCCCTGTATTAAGAAGGAATGAGTTGGGACCAGCAGTTAGCATAATGGCTATGTCACTGGACTCCCATGTAGTCGACTGCTGTGGTGGCTTAAACTCACGCCGGGTGCGTGTGCGTGCGTGCCCAAGATCCCAAGAGGAGAATGGAGGAGAAGGGATTTCAGCGTGGCCATCCCCCCTGGGTGGGGACTTCTCGGCTTTCTGTCTCTCTGTCTCTCTCTGTCTTTCTGGTGAGCGTATGCGCCCTATAGCAAAAACCTCTCCGAAAAAAAGAAAAAAAGAAGGAGTGGGTTGTTTCCTGCCTGAGTGATTGTGAACAAAGTATAGCACCACAGTTTCCCAAAACCGTTTCTTCCAGCATGGCCATCACCTCTTCTGGTGCTCATGACACTGATGTTTGGTGGTTTGACACCAAGAGCTAAGAAAAGGCACACCAAGTGTTCCCCTTGCACGGAGTCCCATGGTGGTCATGCATCTTGGGTCTTCTATCAACTTAAAAGGACTTTTTCTTTTCTTTTTTTTTTTAATAATTATTTTATTTTATTTATTCATTCATTTATTTTTTAATTTGACCAGAGAGACACAGACGTTGAGAGTGAGAGAGAGAGGAAGTGAGAAAGCAAGCCACCAGATTCAGGACTCGAACCCTGGTCGACCACGTGGGAGTGTCCAATGCCTTAACCACCACATCACCCGCTGGTCCCTAAAAGGACTTTTTTCTTATTGATTTAGTTTTGTTTTTTGCCCTAGGGCATGAGTGCTTGCTGGAGAGAGACAAAGGAAGAAATCACCTCCCCAGAAGGGATGGCCACACTGCTTCCCTTCCCCTCTGTTCTCTCAGGATTCTGGGCACACGTGCGCATGCGCCTGGAGTGTTTCTTGAAGCAGCTAGGTCCAGGACTCAAACCGCAGGGTCAGCTATGTGAGATCCAGCACCTTACCCACCACACCACCTGGCCAGAAAAGGGTATTTTATTTTATTTAACTTGCTAGAGAGCACCTGTGCTCACCAGAGAGCTACAGAGAGAGAAAACGAGAAAGTACTCCCCCGTGGGGCATGGCCGTGCTGCACTCCCTTCTTCATCTTTCTCTTCTTTGGGGATTCTGGGTGTGCACACACACCTGGCATGTTTTTCAAGCTGCAGGTCTGGAACTTGAACCACACAGGCAGTCATTGTGGTATTTACCTTATACAACACCAGGCCATGGGCTGGCCCAGCTTTCTGTAAAAAAATTAATAAATTAATTTTTCTTTATTTATGAAGTATGTGCATACACACAGAAAAGAGAGAGGAGCATCCTCCGTGGAATCTGATCACACCACAGTCCCCTTCCTCCAGTTTTCTGGCCTGCTGGGTCTTGAGCACTCAAATGCACGCCCACTGTGTTTCAGACTGGCCAGGTCAGGGGTTCACACTGCAGTTGCTGTGTAGAATCAGCTTCTCCTTGTACATTGCCACAGAGCCAGCCCTGTCTGTGTATTCTGATAGAGGGCATGTGTGCTCACCAAAGAGAGACACAGAGAGAGAGAGGAGACGCCCACACCACAATCCCTTTTCCATTCTCACCCTGGGATCTGGGGCATGCATGCACTTGTGCCCAGTGTGTTTTTCAAGCTACTGGGTCCAGGACTCAAACCTGCTCAGTGGGCCATGTGGGATCCAGCTGCCTTAACCTCCACATCACCTGCTGGCCCGAAAAAATGTGTTTTTATATTCCTCACTTTTCATTGAAGCAGGAAGAACCTAAAACG